TTCAAAGTAGTATATCCAGGTATTTGCTTTCAATTTCACTGATCTTGTCTTCCATTGTTTCAAACTTGCTCCTCAAATCTTTTATGACACTATTTCTGAAATCTTGTTTATCTTTCGGATTTCTAATTTTTATTTTTGTATGATTTCTAGTTGTGTGTTTATATTGAGATTTTGTTCCTGTATTATTTTCCTGAATTCTTCCATTGTTTTTTTCTCTTTTCCATGATTTGGGCTATTTTTTTTCTTATTTTTTTCTGTTTTTTTTCCATTATCTCTTGGATAGCCCTCAATATTAGAGTTTTGAATTTCCTATCAGGTAGTCCCAGTGCTTTTTCTTCTAATGGAAGTTCATGTGTGTTTTATTTTGGACCCCTACTGGAACCATCCTGTCCTGTTTTTTTATCTTTTGGTAATGTCAGCTGTCTTTGGAACATTCAGTAATTATTTTCTTCATTTATTGATTGTAGCTTTGATTGTTTCATCTTACTTTTTTGTTTTATATGAGTATGTCTGGGCAGATGGGCTGGGTGTTCTTTGTTGTTTGCTCATCTGTGGGCATGATATTCTCACCACCTTGTTCAATGGGCAGGGCCAGTTGCTCAGTTATAGTGCAGCAGGGCAAGTCCAGCAGAGGGGGAGGGGCAGGGATGGGTCGTTTGCAGCAAGTACTGGGGCCAACAGGGCAGGGCCAAGGGGCAGTGCTGGGCAGGGTCCTGTGGTCTGTGCCTTTGTCACTTGGGGGTGTGGTGCTCAGTGTGTGGTGCAGATAGGCAGGAGGGAATGGGACGATGTGATATGTGGAGATAAATGGGTATGGGGAAGAAGAAAAAGGAGAGAGAAACAGAAGCCAAAAACCAAAACAAAACAAAACACAAAAAAGGTGCTGTCAGAGCCTGTCATTGGAGTTGCGCAACCCCAGGAAGCCGTGTGCCAGTGGCTTTCTAGTCAGGTGGTGTGGCACAGCCCATCAAGAAGGGGCAAATTCAGCACATGGGGTTAGGTGTGTGGGAGAAAGGAAAAGAGAGAGAGATAAGAAACTGGAAAAAGAAAGAGAGAGAGAAAGGCACATGTGACCAGGTGGTCCAAAGCAAAGAAAGGAATGAAGGTTAAGACAGACGAGAAACCTAGGACAAAAAAGAAAAATGCCAGATGGTCAGAAGGAGGGAAAGGAAGGGAGAGACAAGAAACCAAGAAAAGAAAAAGAAAGAAAAAACCAAAAAGTGCCCTAAGGGAGCCCACCAGAAGCAGCTACCCAGCCAACTGGCACTGCACAGCCCAGAAGGAGTGGATATTGCACATGGCACCTGGTGTTCTGGAGACAAGAAAAGAAGGAAGGTAGGGAGAGATAAGAAACAGAGATAATAAAAAAAATGCCCTGAGGGAGCCTACTGGCATGGTGACGCGGACTGGGGAAAGGGCTCCACAGCCAAGCAGCACTGCACAGCCCAGCTAGAAGGAGTGGAGATGTCATACAGTGTCAGGTGTTCAGTAGAAAAGAGACAAGAAACAGAGAAAAGAAAAAAAATGCCTCCAGAGAGCCCACCAGTGTGGCTACTTGGACCAGGGAAGTGGCTCCCCAGCTAAGTGGCACTGCACAGGCCATCAAGAGGGAACGGAGATGGCATGTGGCGCCAGGTGTTCAGGAGAACAGAAAGAAAGGTAGCGAGAGATAAGAAACCAAGAAAATGAAAAAAAAAAAAAAAGCCCATGGGAGCCCACCGGCTTGGCAGTGTGGACTGGGGAAGTAGTTCCCCAGCCAAGCAGCACTGTTCAGCCCATCAAGAAGGAGTGGAGATGGCAGACGGAGCCAGGCATTTGTAAGAAAAGAAAGGAATGAGATGAGAGAGAGAGAAGAAACCAAAAGAAGCCAAAGAAAGCAAGAACAGTGACAAAAAAATGGCACTGAAGGAGGTGGCCAGTGGGAGCAAGGTGAATCCAAGTGACAAGGAGCTGGCATCTCCCTGGCAGAGGGACTGCAGCCTGCTGGAAAGTGGTGGAGGTTGCAGAGGGGGAAGAAGGGTAGGGGGTGGGAAAGCATGTATCCCAGGTCACTGGGTGCTCTGTCTCCTGCTGGGAGCTCTGTGAAGCTACCTTCTCATACTCCCTGTCTGCCATTCTTGGTGGCTAAGGGGTCCAGGATGGTGAATCTATGTCACATTAGCTGACAGGGGACAACCACTCTGTAGCTCTCCTCATTCTCTGTTCTCTGTCAGTTTCTTATTCTATTCAGTGCTTGGATGAGTTCTTTATCCCTTCATTTGATGCTTAGGGTTCCAGGATTGACGTTTGTATCTGTTTTACTTAGTTTTTTGGGTCCTTGCTGTGGAAGGAGGGCATGATGCTTCTGTCTATAGTGTCATGTTGGCTCTGGCTTTCTAAAGATGTTTTTTGACTAAAAAATTAGGCAACTTTTGCTTCTGCTTCTTACTGTAGGCTCCATCTAGTGGCCAAATACTTTGGAGTAACTATGATCTTGTTACCTGCCTTTGTACTTACATGGTTTTTCACACTGCTGATTATCAATACCAAAAACCCACTGCTGTCAAGTCAACTCCAACTCATAGCAACCCTATAGGACAGAGTAGAACTGCCTCATATGGTT